TTTTTTTTTTTTTTTTTAATGTGTGTGCTCTTTTGTTTGTTTTGGTTTTTGCCCTACTATTTACTGATCTTAAAGTTTAGCTCTTAAATTTGTTTTAAAAAATAATTCGGGCTCCCTCTACTGGTTCTGTCTGGATTTGCAAAACAAATATGCATAAGATGGTTAGAAGTCATAGGCATTTGCTTTTTCACAAACTAAATCTGGGGTTCTAGGAACATATAGAAAATATTCTTTAAAAAATTTTACTTTCAAACAGCTCATTTTACAGTATAAATAGCAAGTTGAGTTGCGCTATATGTATTTACTTCCTTTTTTAACCTCTAATTAAAAATTCAGGGACCGGGGAGATAGCTCCACTGTGTAAGCGCCTGCCTGGCAAGCGCAAGGACCGGGGCTGGATCCCTGGTACCGCATACGCCAAGCCAGCCACTGAAACCAAGTTCTGGGGGTGCACACCTGTAATTCTAGCACTGGGAGGCTGAGACCGGAGGAGCACTGAGTCTGAGCTGTGTAGTGAGACCCTGTGACAAATTAATAAATAAATAAAAGTTTTTTTGAACAATCCATTCATGAGAACTGCCATGTACAATGAGCAGTCCCACTCCTGGGTATGTATCCAAAGGAACTGAAATCAGTGTGTCAGGGATATCTCCACTCCTTGTTCCTAGCAACATGTTCCACAGTAATGTTGGTGTCCACCAACATAGGAATAGATATAAAAAACATAGATACAGTGGAGTAATACTGTTTCACCTTTAAAAAGAAAGAAATGCAGGCATTTGTGACAACATGAATGACATTGGGGAACACTATGTCAGGTGAAATAATCCAGGCACACAATGGTAAATACTGCATGATTTCACTTTAAAAAGTTGAACTCATAAAATCAGAGAGGAGGATGGTAGTTAGCGAGGGCAGAGGGGAAGGGAATGGAGGAATGTTCCTCAACAGTGTGGGACTTCTTGAGACAGGAGAAGGACGTTGCAGAAGCTCAATGTCTTGTATAACATTTAGTACAATTAATAACAATACCTGAGAGCAGATATACACTAAAAGAGCAGATATGTGTTTTACCACCAAAATTATAAGCATATGAGATGGTGAATATGTTAATTAGCACAATTTAAACTTTCTACAATGTATACATATTTCAAAATATCCTGTTACACAAAATATACATTAGCCAGGTGTGGTGGCATATATCTGTGATCCCAGCACTCAGAAGGCAGAGGCAGGAGGATCACTGCAAATTCGAGGTCAGCCTGAGCTACAAACTGAGTTCAAAGCCAGGCTGAACCACTTAGCAAAACCTTGTCTGAGAAAGACCAAAAAAAAAGGAAAAAAAAATTAACATCATTTAACATTTAAAAAGTAAATTTAAAAAACACTTAAAGAACTTATTCACAAAGATCATTTATAACTGGAGAAATTTTATTTTAGATAATTGGATGATACCAAGGGATTATTATTAATTTCATATGTAAAAATGGAATTGTGGTTATGTAAGAAATCAACATTTTTTTGAGCTACATTGGAGTAAAATTACAGCAAGTCTTGGATCTATTTTAAAATAAAAGTCTATGATAGTGGATCTAAATGATAGATTGGCCATACTGTTATATTTGTTAAGAAATATTTTATTTCACTGCATGGTGACATAAATGCCCCTGAATACTCTGTCTAAAGAGTGCTGCGAATGAAGTACTCTCTACTTGACTTCATTCAGATGATCTAACCCAGATAAAGAAAATGTAAATATCTTGCTTGCCACCTGAACAGAGGGTGCTTCTGGCTTCAGAAACAGAGTTCCCCTGTGTTTAATTGTCTTTAGGAAAAGCGTCTTGATAAGGCCAACAAGCACCAGTGGGTTTGCCCAATCAAGTGTTTTCCACATCCCGAGCCTATGAGTACATTCTCAGACACCACTTTTTACTTGGCACTAATTCTTAGGGAAAATAGCTCTTTTACCCCTCTAGCAACAAGCATATTCTTACACACACACACACACACACACACACACACACACACACACAACTTCTGTGTGTACCCAAAGCACAGATGTGTTCAAACTGTGGCCCACATCCTGTGCTCCTGAGACCCTGCTTTCTTTACTTACTCAGCAGGAGGGCCACAGTTAGACAAACAATGCACTTTCCTTTGCCTGAAGATGAGTAACTCTGCTCCCTTGGACAGATCCTCCGTGAATTAGGTGGTTGGAGAATACGGTTTGGGGACAGTCACCTACTAAAAGAAACCAAGGCCTCAGTCGGGAGCCGGCCCTCCTGGTCCAGGATCTAACCTAGCTGAGTGGGAACACTGCCACTGATCTCGGGAAATGCCCGGAGCATCACCCGAAGTCTCTGCTCCCTCATCCTCTGTACCACTCCCAGCGGCCCCCAGACAGTGGGGCAGTGCACACAGGGCTGGCTCTGGCGAACGGGCACAGGGCAGCTCGGAGCCAGGCACCTCGCACGCCGAGCTGCCTGCGCGCTGCTCGGTCGCAGATTCTCTTCATCCTCTTCACCCATCATTCAAGTATATGTTTTTTCTGTTCTCTACACTTCAGTGTGTCGGGAGGCATCTTGTAGTTGATATAATTGAACAAATATCATGCAGCAGCGTGGAATTTGTGAGTTCTCTGGCAGATTTGGGCAAAGCTGGTCTTTGAAAGGAATTTTTTTGTAGTCCAATAGATATTTTGTGTGTGTGTATAATTTCCTACTAGTAAAATTGTAGGAAGAGGAGGTAGACCTCAGGGGCTGGGGATATAGCTCAGCAGCGTAAGCGCCAGCCTCACAAGCGCAAGTCCTGAGTTCAATCCCCAGTACCACCAGAAAAAAAAAAGATAGAGGAGGTAGACCTCAACAGTGCTTTTTTCCTATTCAGAATCAAGGGAAGCACTGTACAGCCAGCAGATGGCGACCGTCGCCACCCTTCCTAGTGGAACGTGTTATTTGCAATTAAATGCGCTTTCTCTGTTATCTGGACAGCACAACTGTCATGCTCACAAGATTTTATGATGTTTCCATTGTGATGCTAATTTGTTGAGATGGCTTGCTGGGTAATTTTATATGGCTTTTGTTACTCCATTTCAAGGATTATAAAATAATAATAGCTCTCTGTGCTGATGGATGCATTAACTAACGTCTCCATAGCAATGGCCACTCCTCAAAGAGAAGCTTCACAGTGTATAAATGCAGCTGAATGTTTGTTACTGTTATTATGGTTAGACATTTTATTTCCAAATTGCTGAGAGGTTGGTGCTGACTTCATCCCAGGAATTTTTATAGTCCTGGGTGAGGCTAAGCGATGACAGGAATGTTTTTAAGCCCCGTTTCACTTGTTAGGTTGTTCTGTATGAAAACGTTTCGAAGACAACCTGTGAGTGCTGAAAAAGCCATGGGAAGGTTTTAAACAAAAGAGTAACATGCGCTGATTCTAAAATCTGTCTCTTGTGCTACCAAAAGAGGAGTTTATGCTGGTTTGTTTCTTAGTTATTGGTGGTGATTTTCTTTTTTCTTTTTTTTCTCCTGTCTTTTGGAGACAGGGTTTCACTGTGCAGTTGCGGCTGACCTTGAACTCACTCTGTAGCCCAGGCTAACCTTGAACTCAAAGCAATCCTGCGCCATGCCTGGCTATTTGCCTCTATGTTAACAGAAAATTTTATATGTATTTCTTTCTGGTTTAGGTCAGTGGATTGCCAACCCCAGATCTAAGCTGGCAACTAGATGGAAAGCCAGTGCGCCCCGACAGTGCCCACAAGATGCTCGTCCGTGAAAATGGGGTGCACTCTCTGATCATAGAGCCAGTCACGTCCCGAGACGCCGGCATCTACACGTGTATAGCCACCAACCGAGCAGGACAGAACTCGTTCAGCCTGGAGCTTGTGGTTGCTGGTAGGCCCCTCTGTGAACCCTTTCTCTGCCTTGGTGAATGTCAGGTTACAGGTATAAGCTAATTTGCGTTACTTAGCAGTACGGAAAATAATCAAACTGCTGACAGAATAGATCATGTCATCAACATCACCCACAGGGACAAATCATAAGGCTTAGCAAATCAGAAACATTTTGTGTACTTCAGTGTAGCCACTCTTATTTGTCCTTCCTTTCTCAAGAGAGAAAGGATTTGAGCAAATTTTCTAGGTCATATGGATGCTGGTGTATGTCCTCAGTATTTCACAGGGAAAAAGTACAGCTGCCTGGGCCCTAATTACTAAAGAAGGTGCTTATTCAGCATATTCACATACAGATCTAATTTTTAACAGTATGCACTGGTTTCAAAATTTTAAGACAACACTGGCATCTACACCCAATGTAATGTCATAGTCAGTTCAGATTTGCTCTTTAATTGACTGCTTTGTAGGTAAGTGTCATAAGTGGTGTTGTAAGTGGTGTTGCATGAAGCCTTCTTCTTTGACAAGCTGAAAAGGAACATGTGTTTGTGGAAAGATTCATGCCATCCTTAGGAATCAGACATAAATAGAGATTCTGATTTTTTTTAATAGGACGTAATGTTTATATCTTATACTTCTATTTAGTGCTTCATTTATGTTATCTCAGGCCTCACAGGTCCTCCGTGACACAAGGCTAGCACATCTCCTTTCCACTTAGTAAGTCAAGGGTTAGGTTCAGAGCATGCTGTTGGCATGCGTTGTGTTTCCAGATGCCCTGTGAGCCACTGGACTTCTTCAAGAAATAACAGCAGCATTGAAAATAAAACCCTGGGGAGGTCCTACCTGAAATCCTAGGTGATGATTCTAAGAATGGCACTAAAATATTTTTCTAAACAAAAATGTGTGGCTGTGTAGGCTGTGGTGCTACTTTAGCCATGCTTTTAAATTATGTACAATGTATTCCATATTCTTACACACCAGGACTGGTTTTATTTATTCTAATCTCAAACTATTGTTCTGCTATTAAATGTACATTTTGATCATCTCTGTCCTTCATGGCTGAGACTTGAGATCCCAAGAGACGCAGACATCCCAGCATGCCTTGGCACTTCTGTCAGGAAATGGCAGTGTGGGGTAGCAGGAGCCCAGCCTTCTGGCTTCAGGTCTGTTCCAATCCAGGCCGTGTCTGCCTTCCTGTTTGAATGACCCTCGGCAAGTGTACCTCAGCATCTCAGTTTCTCCTTATGAAAATGCAGAAATGCATCATTTTTATTAAAAGTTGTCATAAAAATATGTTTGAAGTTCAGCATAACCAAAACCTTAGATAACAGTGCTCCGAAATGATACGTGTTATTCTTAACAGTAAGCTATAATAAGGCTTATGTTAAGTACTTCTTAAAACTGAGACCCACAAAGAATATGAGCTAACCTTCTTTCCCCAAAATATCCCAGGTCAGTGGACTATGTAAAATCTAATAAAAAATAGAACCTTATATATTAATTACTCAAGGTCTTAGAGAGTCTTTCAGGCACCTGAAAACTTCAAGTAGAATTTTATCCTTTGAGCTCACTTCTTTCTCCTAGCTGCTTTTCTGGGATATTTTTTGCCCCTCCAGATGATGGTGAGTGATGGAGAAAGACACGCATTCTCAAAATCATTGTTGGCGGCTCAGAAGAGAATAATTAAATCTTATTCTCTAAATTGCCTCCACCCCGACCCAAGAAAATTTTCATTGGATGGTAATATTCAGTGTTAAAAAAAATCAGTTCTAAGCAATAAAGTTTTCTTTTTTATGACTTCTTCCTATAAGGTAATAATAAAGCTGCCTTTTTATAGCTTCCTTCAAAAAGTACAACAGGAAATAGGGAGATACTTTGGAAAATGGGAAGGTACCGAGAGACGTTGGCAGAGGGAAGGGAGGGAGGGGAAGGGATACGAGAGCAGGAGTGCACCAAGTACCTGTACCAGCTCCCCACAGTGAAGGTGCTCTCTGTGTACTACAAACATGTACTGATAAAAAGTACAAATTAGAATCTGTAACTTGGACCGTGCACATGGCTCATTTATAGGTGACTGTTAAAGCTGCCAACTTAGATGCAGATGACTCCCCCATTTCAATCCTTTACTGAGGCCAGGGGTTTTAAATTTCAAAATCTTTAAAGCAAACACTGCCCATTGTGGTGAAGGAATCTCGGAGGATCAAATTCTTAGGAATACTTGGGCATCACTAGGTGGCGGTAGGCAGTGAGGACTGAGCTGTATGGTAATCTGCTTAGTAGAGACTCCATCCCAGATACTACAGTCACTTAGGGGCCTCCTGCAGCCTGCCAGACAGGCCTCCTGCGCAGCAGATGGCCAGAGGACCACGTGGGCCCATCAGACGTGAATTAATTGAGGAGATAAGTGAACAGAGTGAGGCGCATGAACCTTTGCTTGGTAACAGAGCATTGGAGGGGGACACCCAGCACCTCACCACTTGAAGTGGAAAAGCGTGTCATAAAGAACTGTTTAGGCGAGCTTTTGGAAGCCTTCTGAATTCCTTCGTGTATCACAGATAGATAACATCCTTCGTTTGTCACTGATGTGCACGAGCTCCTGGTGTGTATCGGTGATGGATAATGCCGCTCATGTTTTCTCAGCTAAGGAAGCACACAAACCTCCAGTGTTCATCGAGAAGCTCCAGAACACAGGAGTTGCTGATGGGTACCCCGTGCGGCTGGAAGGCCGAGTCTTCGCTGTCCCGCCGCCGCAGATATTCTGGAAAAAGGAAAATGAGTCGCTCACCCACAGCACCGACCGCGTGAGGTGAGACTGCATAATGGCCTCACTTGGTCCAAATGAAATGTGAAAAATAAGAGGTACATTTTATATAGCACATGTCAGTGTCACGTAAAGGCCAGGCCTTGGAGGGTATCAAAGGCGAACATCACTTCTGACCCAAATACATGTTTCAGGCTTTAGAGAAAAGGCACACTGTGTGTAACGAAGCACATTGCAGCTTGACCTAGCAATGATGTTTAAATGTTCATTTCAGAAGAAATGATGTATTCATTTACCTCAGTGGTTTGGTAAAGGCAGATCAACTAGAAATTAAGAGCACAGATTTATTCTCCCTCTCGAGGCTCCGCTCTTCTCCCCCATTAACTTTAATGGAGCTAGCATCCTCTCCAGAATAAGTAGGACCCTATTATCGGCTACGTGTGCAATTCTGTTTCTAATGACCTAATTAAAAATGAAGCTTCATGTCCAAAGCCACTTTTTAAAAATTTAGAGCCCTAATGACTTTATCCTCTCCTCCAGCATGCACCAGGATAACCATGGCTACATCTGCCTGCTTATTCAGGGAGCTACAAAAGAAGACGCCGGCTGGTACACCGTGTCGGCCAAGAACGAGGCTGGGATTGTGTCCTGCACCGCCAGGCTGGATGTTTACAGTGAGTGCCTCCTCAGCGCGTTTGCTCACTGAATTATAAAAAATCAGACATCTGGACAGCAAATCACATTCCTCTTAGCTAATCTTATAAACAACAATAGCATTTTATTTACCAAAAACTCATGTTCTCTTTCTCTTTCTATTTATAGTTTCTCGGCATTAATAGTGAAACTCCACCAGGAGAACAAATTCCCAAGTATCATTCAGGAATCCTGAATTATTAGCAATACATGCATGTTGGTTTCTCTTATGTTGGCTAGTCAGTTGTGGCTTCCTGACTTGAGCATCCTTGGGAGTTAACAGTAGACAAAGGCATAAATGCTTCTCGCATTTCCATATTACTGTGCTCTGCAAATGACTGTCTTTAACATCTCTTACTATATTCCAGTCCTGTCACGGTGTCCTAATGCACTTGGTGTGTGTACTATTGATCCTGGAGTGTGTGGCTTAGTGCTTTTCTTATTAATATATCTTAAGCATCTCAGCAATAGATTTGTTTGTGTATCTGTATTTTTTGTACATTCATCCCTTTTTTAACATGTTCCTACTGAATTCTTAAACTAGCAAGTAGTATTTTGTGATTCATTGACATAGGAAAACCTGCTACAGAATGATTAAGAACAGATTTCAAATTTTGCCTGTTCTTGAAGAAGGGATACCTTTGAGAGGTTCTTCAGTGAGTGCATGGCCTCAGCCCTGCCGACTGCCCAGTTCTTTTCAGTTTATCAGTGCTGAAACATCTATCCTCTATAATTACTAAAGGAAAAATGCTATTCCATAAGGAGTAGCGAGAACTAGAAAGCTTAACTGTTTCAGGAGACTCTCAGTACTGCAGCATTGCTTGAAAATAAAGATGAACTACACTTGGTCCTTACTACACCCCTCTTGCCAGTCCCACCAGCCTGGAGAGGCAATAGACTGGTAGCATGAGTCAAAAGCAAAAGTATCCCTAAATTTTCTGTCTCTACCATGGGTGTCTCCAGCCCTTCACCAAGAGTATGTACCTGGTATCTATTGAAAGATAATCTTTGTTTATGTAAGACATCTAGAGATTTAGAAGTATAGGTTCGTTGCAAACCCTGATTTACTGTCTTTCCTTTGTAGCCCAGTGGCAGCCGCAGCCACAGACCACCAAGCCAAAGAAAGTGCGGCCCTCCGCCAGTCGCTATGCAGCACTATCAGACCAGGGGCTGGACATCAGAGCAGCGTTCCAGCCTGAGGCCAGCCCGTCACACCTGACACTCAATACCGGCTTGGTCGAAAGCGAGGACTTGTAATACGGTATCTTGTTAAAGCCGAAACTCCGAAACCACCATTGCCTTGACCAACAAGTTTCTCTGTCACATTATGTAAAAGGCAGAAATATACTTTGACTTACAAGAAATAAAAAACACCAAAATAATATTTTTCTTACTTGTTATACCAAACTTAGAGCTTACGTAGGTGATGCTTATAGAAGTGTACACATTGCACACACAATGTACGTTTATTGTCCAGCTTAAAACTTTGGGAATTGCTGTGATGAAAGTGGTCTGAAATGCCAAATGTTGAAGAAAATCAGTGATAATAATTTACATTATCTGCAAGTGCCTTTCAACACCAGCTGTAGGTGCTGTACAGCACAACATATGGAGCGTTCCACTTGATACCACAAGGACTCTGAAGTGCAGTGTATTCGGACAGCTCAGATGAACCAAGTGCAATATTTAAGGCCAAAAAAGAATAAACGATGAAGAAATCCAAGGAAATGCCTTGTCTTTGCAAACTTATGTTAAATCATAAAGAAGGAACTACTTGCCTTAACTCTTGTTAATATTAGTTTCTAACAAGGGCAGTGTCTTAGCTCCTAACTTTTGTGTGCAGCATTTTCCACGCTGCCTTGCCAGGAAGCTTATTTACAAACCCTACTAAAAGGCTAACTTAAATATAAATAATATGAAGTTTTCTGAGTAAAGCAGAAATGTTTTACAGACCATTCCACAACAGGCATCCAAACCACCCAGATGACCAAGGTAGACGGTATTTGGAGGAAACAGGTTTGGAACAAGTAGGCAAACGAATGAAGGAAAAACTCACCAGCACAGTTACGCTGTCTTCATTTTGATCAAAATAGAAGGCACAGGAGAGGTGGCAAATGCCAGGTTTTTCTTCATTTTTCTTAAAAACTAAATCTTATAAGTAGAGAAAACAAAACACTTCCATTTAAAGGTCAAGAAATCTTGGGTCAGGGACTGGGACTATAGCGCACCAGTCTAAGTGCCTGCCTGGCAAGTGCAAGGACCCAGATTCGATCCCTGGTCCTGCATGCCATGCCAGCCACTGAAACGGGGCATGGTGGCACATGCCTGTAATCCCAGTACTGACGAGGCTGAGACAGGCAGATCACTATGAATCAGAGCTGTGTAGTGAGGCCTTGTACCAAATTAATTAATAAAAGTTTAGAGGAAAAAAAAAAGGAAAACTAGGGTCAGCTACAAGTTTGGAGCACACGTGCTATGGAGATCTCAGTGTATCTGGAGTTTGTGTGGTGTCTGAAGATATTAGATGTGTCGAGCAAGTTGAAATGGACTGAGACTGCGAGGGCGGCACACACGAGAAGCTGCCTGCTGGCGCCAGTGTGCCTGAAAGGAAAGGAGACCCAGAGAGACAGAACCAGGCCTGTGCTGTAAGACATTTTTGCCATTGGCACAAAGGGATAGACACGGAAAGCAGCTCACTTCCCCGCTGCCACGAGCCCTGTCTTCACTTGGTCCTAGCCAGAGGGCCGAGAGGTAAGCGTCTCTCTAGGAGCGAAGCTTCTGAGGCATCTCTGCAAAGACCGCTTTTGGAATGCGTAGGATTCTGCTTCAGACAGGAGGAAATGCTTCTGACCAGACTTGATGGCTTTAAGTCGGCACCAATAAAATCTTTCTGTGAGAAAAATAATTTGGCCTAATAGTAGAAAACATGGGGCTTTAATGGTACTTTGCTATGAAAAAAAACCACCAAAACACTGTACCCCTTGTGCAGAACACGTGTATCTTTCATTATTTATAATAATAAAAGTGTTGAACTTTCTTAGCTCAGTTACTCAATTCATACATAGTATTTTAAAAATAATTTTATATCTGTATACCACCCCATATATTTCATATTACTGCTTCACATGTACAGCTTTCTACTTCTTTGTAAGAATACCAACCAAGTTTTAAATAATGAATGGGCACGGGTGGCAGATGTCCTGTGCAGCGTGGTGTGGCTTTCTCCGACCACGTACACGCCTTGCCTATGTGGGGTTTAAGGTAACACAGAGTCTCATGGACCTATGTAGAGTGTAGAATTATGGTTTATGTCATAGGTGACTTGCCAAATTTTTCTGAATGTGACTTTTTTGCTAATTTGCTGGGTTGGGGATTAACTAGCAATATTTTTGCCACCTTTTATGTTGTATTTATAAAAAAAAAAGTACTATCATACTACTTTGGATTGTTGTGATGGTGTAATGTGGATTTAACATCAATAAATATTTAACAAATAATAGTTGTAGTTTTGTGCAGCAAAATATTCAGTTGTTTTAGTTTCTATTACTGATATAATAAACCAGCAAAAACTTAGAGGCTTCTGATACCACTTTTGTAGTTCTGAGTCAGAAGCTTGGTGTGACATGGCCAAGTTCTCTACTTACAAGCAGAAGGCTAAAGTCATTGTCATCTGGGCTGCATTCTTGTTGGGAGCGCAAGAGTCCCCTCCAAGCCAAAGTGGTTGTGACAAAATTTGGCTCCTTGCAGCTGCAGGACAGAGGGCTCCTTCGGGGCTCTCAGCTCTTGCCAGTCGTGTATGAATTAGCCTTCGCATGGACCCGCTCCATCTTCCAAGCCAGCAGTGCAGTTCCCTCTCACTTTGATTCTTTGTCCAAGGCCCAGTCCCTTTGAGAGGCATACCTGGCTGCGGCGGGTGCAGTCGGATTATCTGCCTTTCTTAAAGTCACCTAGTTGAGACCTTACGTGTATCTGCAACACGCCTGCAAAGCACCACCTCGATTCATGTTTGGTTAACTAAGGTGTTCAGGAGCAGTGTGGGACAGAGTGCCATCTTAGAGTCTTGCCTACCACTTCAGTTTATTATATGTAAACACGTAAGTACGTGTATTTATCAACACCATGCCTTACAAGGGTGCATAAAATATAGCAAGAAGATACAAATTTAAAATGAGGAATAATGAAAATGATAACAGCATTAACAGAACAAGGAATTCCACTATACACATGCATAGTACCTCGATAATTACAACAGAGGGACAGTACTAGAGTTCCTTGCTATAGGAAAAAGAATGGGGGGTGGGGAGCTGGCCCCATACATAATTCAAAGCCTCTGTAAAATGAAAACATTTTTTACAGGAAGCTATGTGATGAACTACATTCCGATTAGACTAGAACTGTATATTTCACCCTATCCTATAACCTATGACTTCTTCCTTGCTATGAAGTTTTCAAGATCCATTATTACATTACATGCTAAACGTACTCTTGATTTTCCCTTCTATGACCGCAAGTAAAGTACAGGAATCACCTTGGCTTATTCAGTAGCTGTACACTAGTGAAAAGTCTGATTCCTTTAAATGTTGGAAATATGACTTGTGTACCTGTGATGAAGAGCTGCGTCCTGGAATTGGGCAACTGGGATTTGATTCTTAGCTCCTGCACGTCGGGCCTACGTGAAACATGAGTCGGTTACTTCCCTGCCCTGTGCTAAGTTTTCTTATTTGTAAAATGGAGATCAAATTAATAGCTCTTTCTTGAGATTGCAAGGATTACGGGAGATAACAATGTACGCAAAACTTAACTTGGTACCTGGAACATACTGTCAGAATATTATTTTAATATAATTTGAAAACCAAAATCGTTGGGTAAAATAATTTCAGTTACAAAATGTACACAACCAATAAAACCAGATGAGTGGTAAGATTTGTAAACCTGGATGGAAGCAAACTCGCCTCTCAAATTTAAAATGTCCCTCACTTGTAAAGCAGCAGAACACAAGAGTAAAGAAGTAGCTTCAACTGTCCCAGCAGAAATCACAGACATGCCAAATAACTTGAAATAATATTTATACTCTGCACTACCTCAAATTTATTGGTAAAGTTACCAATAGTGCATTATTTTATCAGATATCTGGCTTTTTAGAGTTCTTGATAATTAAGATAAGTTGCTTCCTACGTATGTGTTTATAAACATTTTGAGAAGGGATCTATATGATTCACAGTCTCAAAAGAGTATATGATATGAAATATTAAGAACCACATCCAGAGAAATTCAAATATATAGAAAAAGAGGATGGCAAGGATACCCACTCCAGCATTCTGTAGGGAAAACTTGAAGACAACCTTAATTGCTCAGTAGTTATGATTTATTCATACAATGGAACATTACTATTCAGAAACAAAGAACTGTAGCTGTGAATATGGTAAATATAAATACTTGGTAACAAAAGGAAGTTACAAAAGGATACATACAGTGTGGTTTCATTTGTGTAAACCAGCTCTGCAAATTTTTTAAGCGTGCATGGAAATCATATCAGTTTCAGAAGGGCGATTTCTCTAGAAGGGATGAAAAATGTACGGGCTCCAGGAGAGCCCCATGGGAGCTGAGTGCACACTGGTGGAGCCCGTGCCTGCCTTGTCCTCAGCACCTCCTTACCAGGAAAAGAAGAAGAGGAAAGCCTATTACGCTTCTATTTTTTAAAGAAGTTGCATGAAATATAGAAAAATGTTAAAATCTATAGATGTGGCTATGTATAATTTTCAATATATTTCCTCCATATTTGAAATATATCAGGAAAATTTTTTATTATTTAAAAAAACGTAGGGCCTACCAGGTAGCTCTGCGGACTAAAGCACCTGCTTGGGCAGGCACAGGGACTGGGGTTCCATCCCCATGTGTGGTGGCAGCACTGCCCCCCCCCCCAGGGCAAGCTGAGACCACAGCT